TGCAAAGATAGGGTGAACTTCTGGGTTGGTTGGTCAAATGGCCAAGTATTCTCATCAAAAACCCACGGTCTGTCCACAGTATTGCCTTCTTCCTAAAACTCTGCTCCTAATGATTTTAGGATAGCTAACCATAGCAATGGCAAATTCCCCTTTTGTTGTAGTTTAGGAGCTCTAAAGCAAATCTATGTTGGAATAAGACTGGCTGATGCAACTACCATTTGAATATTAGGAGCCAATGCCGTTTGAAATGTGAGTTGAGACTGGCTCTTGGCAATGAGTTTGAAAGGATCCATGAGGGCTGACCCCGTGGCTTAGCGGTTAAGTGCGTGTGCTCCGCTGCTGGCGGCCCGGGTTCAGATCCCGGGCGTGCACTGACACACCGCTTCTCCGGCCATGCTGAGGCCGTGTCCCACACACAGTAACTAGAAGGATGTGCAGCTATGACATACAACTATCTACTGGGGCTTTGGGGGGGAAAAACATAAATAAATAAAAGCTTTAAAAAAAATAAAAGGATCCATGATCTATTTTTACCCAGGGGTACCCCAGTCCCTAAAGTCTGGCCACTTCCCTATATGTTTGAGCATCCCAACCCCCCAAGTACATGATCACCCCACCCCAAACACTGAGCCACTCACAGTGACTCACAATAAGCTAAACTCGGTAAGATGAGATGGCCTCTTCCCGTGACTGCCTTAAAGCAATAGAACTTGTACCTAGCTCAAGTTGCAGAAAAGAACAGTGGTTTTCAAGGCAGATCTACATTCAAATCCAAAAGCACTTAATACCTATGTCTGACCCTGGGCAAGTCATTTCACGTCTCTGAGCTTCATTTCCTTATTTGTTAAATAGGTATAACAACACCTGGGTCTTTGTCCAGAACCAATTCTCTTCCTCCTGATACTAAGCTTGCCCTCTCACCCAAGGGTAACATGTGACCTGATTGGGTCAATCATTTTATAACACAACATTTGGTTCAGGAATGAATGCAATCCAGGCCTGTTGAAGTCATTCCCTTATGACTTTCTGTTGAAACCAGAGGACTAGATGCTTTCTCTAGATGTGAAGCCGTAAGGATGGGACCTTAGAGCTGCTTGTAGCCTGTAGCCCTCTTGTTCCTACATGGTTTGCACCCTCCTTGACCTCATCTCTTAGCACATCCCCTTTACTCACTTTGCCTATCCACGCTGGCATCCTTGCTGTTTCTCAACTCTAAGCATGCTCCCGCGTCAGAGCCTTTGCACTTGCTGTTCTCTTTGGAATGCTTTTCCTCCAGATACCTGCATGGCTGACTCCTGCACCTCCTTGAAGTCTCTGCTTAAATGTCACTTTCTCAAAAGGCCTATTATGACCACCTTATCCAAAATTGTGACCCTATCCCCCTCTACTCCTTTTTAAAAAAAATTTTTTTCCCATAGCACCAACTTCTAACATATAAGTTTATTACTGTTAATTATATTATTATTCACTGCCAGTCTCCACCTACTAGAATATAAATTTCACTACGACAGGGATTTTTGTTTCTTTTGTTCATTGATGTATCTCAAGTGCCAGGCAAATTAGTAAGTACCCAGTAAATATTAATGTTTTTTTTTGAGGAAGATTGGCCCTGAACTAACATCTGTTGCCAATCTTCCTCCTTTTTTCCTTTTTCTTTTTTCTCCCCAAAGCCCCAGTAGATAGTTGTATGTCATAGTTGTATATCCTTCTAGTTGCTCTCTGTGGGATGCCGCCTCAGCATGGCTTGATGAGTAGTGTGTAGGTCTGCGCCCAGGATCCGAACCAGCAAACCCCGGGGCGCCAAAACAGAGCATTCAAACTTAACAGCTACGCCCCCAGGCCGGCCCCAATATTTGTTGAATGAATGAATGAACGTATTTATAACCAAATAAGCTCAACTAGTATAATACCAATGACAAGAGATTCTCACATATTGAGGTAAGGGGGTAACTATTAGGGTTCAAAACTGATTCAGCTTGAACTAAAAAGGCTGATTTATGGCCTATCAAACATACATTGTACATATGCTTAACCATTAAAGTAAAGAACGCACTCTCTTAAGATAAGAATCATACTTCCCCTCCTATGCCCTATTGGTAACGCTCGGATTAGTCCCTTTCCTGACATCAGAGTCAGGTTGACCTGCTAATTTGCAACCGAATACCTTTTGAAATTTTGATGAAAATGTATCCTGGGTGTGTTCAACTTATGTTCTTTATTCTATTTTTTGTGTGTGAGGAAGATCAGCCCTGAGCTAACATCCATGCTAATCCTCCTCTTTTTGCTGAGGAAGACTGGCTCTGAGCTAACATCTATTGCCAATCCTCCTCCTTTTTTTTTTCCCCAAAGCCCCAGTGGATAGTTGTATGTCATAGTTGCACATCTTTCTAGTTGCCGTATGTGGGATGCAGCCTCAGCATGGCCAGAGAAGCGGTGTGTCGGCACGCGCCCGGGATCCGAACCCGGGCGGCCAGTAATGGAGCGCGCGCACTCAACCACTAAGCCCCGGGGCCAACCCCGTTCTTTGTTCTATACTGAAAACCATGCTTCTCCGAACGCTTTCTAAGGCCTTCCTGGGTTATAATCCTCACTCTGGCTCAAGTAAACTCACCTTATTTCTCTTATCTGTAGAATGGTTATTGGTTATTTTGCGTCGACACCTATCTAATGAGATTGTTATAAGGGTTAGAAATTATGGATAGAAAGTAAGCACAAGTAGAATGTCTGACTCATAGTAGGTACTCAAATGTGGTAGCTGTTGTCATTTTGCAACAAGAATTTTGTCTTGGCTTTGGGATTTGGGCAGATAGAAAAAAAGAATGTCTTGGGGAGGCAAGGTTCAGTAAAGGATGAAGAGGAAGTAAAACAAAGAACCAGAGAGTGGTGGTAGCCAGCAACTGAGAACCAGAAGCACAGGCTGAAGAGGAAGCTGTGGAGAGATGTAAAACCACAAGGTTAATGCTGCCAGAAATAAAATTGCCCAACTTAGCTGGGTGGGTGGAAGGCAGCTGGGAAAGGGCAGGGAAGAATTGCCGGAGGTATTCAACGTCATTAAGCAATGGGCCTTAAAGTAATTGAACTAATAGTCTTTTCCAGTCCTAACTACGGCGAGATTGATATCCAGATATCTGGATACCAGATATCCAAATTGATATCTGGTCAGTTTGATCAGAGCACAGGGCCTGTCTCTAGTGGGTATTTGTTCCCAGGTTGTGGAATGACTGGGCAGCACAGTATCACCAGGACTGTAAGTGGAATTAAGTGAAGTGGCAAACTGGAAAGTCCCTAAGTTCTGGAGTCAGCTTTGAATCTCAATTCTGTCATTTACCAGCCATGTGACCTTGAGCAAGTAAACAACCACCCTGCGCAAGATCTAGGGCCCCGAGAAAGTAGGGGATTAGGGGAAAATAATAAATATGGCATTAAATTACACTCTTTAACAACAGCAACAACAAAATAGAAAATTAAAGTTCTCAAAAGCAACTGCTTTGAACAAACCCAGTTGATTAAACTTAAAACCCTGCTTATATCACCTTCTACTGCCCAGGAAGCCTTGGTGTCAGGGCAGATTTTCCCACAAGTCTTATAAACACAAGTTTTCAAACCAGCCATTTCCAAGTTGAAATATAAGTCTTTCACATGCATGCTATATGTCGTCTATTTTACCCCCTTGTTTCAGTTTCACAAGTCTTGGCCACTGTCTGCGGTTTTCTCAAATTATTTCTCCAATTATTCTGGGGCAGAAGGGCATGTTTTCTGGGCCCGGCCCTTCTGTGCAGATGGAGGGCAAGTACAACTCTCCATATGTTCCCACACAGTCTGTGGGACAAGAGAGCAATTGAAACTTTTGGGTTAACTAATATAAAATAATTTTATATCAACACTCCCATTAACAAGCAACTGTTGGCAAATGATTAAGGGCTTGGTCTTTGGAGACAGGCTAGATTGCCTGGCTTTGAATCCAGGCTTCATCACTTCCCAGCTGTGTGACCTTAGGTAAATTACTTATTTCTCTGTACCTCAGTTCCTTACATCCTAAGGTTACTGTGACACTTAAAAGTTATTTGTAAAGCCCTTAGAACAGTGCCTGGCACACAATAAAGCTCTAAGTGTTTGCTAAAAATATTTTGCTCACCACTAGACCACTGGGTCATACTGCTTGATGATAATCTGCCTCACTCATCCTTTATCCCCTTGATGGGTCTATAGCTGGGTTGATGGGAAGGTGTATTGGCTTTAGCAGAGGTAGTAGTAGTCCTTTTACCAGTTACTTGCATGGACCAGGACTTATAGGGAAGTTTGGGTCCTGCCCCAGAGTGGCTAAAGTGAGGGGGAGATGCCTGCCATTTTCATAGGCTGTTACCACCAGGTAGTAAAAGTCCTTGAAGATAAATTTTAAGTAATCAGATTGGCCACTTCCTTTCCTCTAGGCAGGGAGCTGGGATGGAGAGAGGAGTTGAAGATTCTTTTGGAGAGACGTTTCAAGTCTGTTCCTGTATGGAAACCGGAAGTTAGGCTAAGAGTTCATGGATAGGCATCCCCAGGGCCCTCTAACTGCCCAGCAATACTGCAGGACTTGTGAAATGCAAGACACCTTCACATCAGATTTGAAATCATTCTAGCGTCTTCCAATTCAGCTTATTGCCCACTTTTCTCTTAACTGGGAAGATGCTAGCGGCCTGATGCCCTTTTAGGGTTCTTTTAAATTTGGGGCAAAACATGGCCAAGGGAAGCCTGGGGAACTCATGTGGAGGAAAGTACCCTCAATTCAGCAGAAAAGCCCTTGCTCTGGACTGTGGCCAGACTTCTATGAGTCCTGGGCACACTCTTTCCTCGTCCCCGCCCTTATGAGCACCGAACTTAGCTCTGCTTCTAGCGGCTCCCCAGCTCATAAACGCCAGGGGACGGTTGGCTATCCGACTGTCACTGCGCCTGCGCAGGGGTCCGGCGGCTGCAGCGCCTGGGCAGCCTCGCCCGAAGGTCTGAGCTATAAATGCGCCTGCGCCGGAGGCCAGTAGGCTGGCAGGGCTGAGCCGACTCACCTCTAGCGTCGCGCCGTCAGTGCGCCTGCGCGTGGCCCCGGCGCCGCGGTTCTTGACTGTGCAGCGCCGGGCGCCGGCAGTAGCCATGCAGAAAGCCGACTCCGAGCAGCCCGCTAAGCGGCCCCGACACGATGGCAGCCCAAGAACCCCGCCCAGCACCCCTTCCGCAGCGGCGGAGAGGTCCCCGGGCCCCGACCTCCCTTCCGACCACCAGACCTGGGGCCCGGAGCAGGTGTGCTGCTTCCTAAAGCGCTGTGGCTTCGGTGATCCCGGACTGCTGGAGCGCTTCCGAGGTAGCGGGGCCGGAGGGCTGAGGGGCCGGGGGACGGCGACCCGAGGCGGGGACGGCGGGCCTGAGGAGAGGGCGCCCGGAGGCAGTGAGCATGGGGCCTCAGGGAGGACCCAAAGCAGAGAAGGGGTGGACCTGAGGCGGGAGGCGCCGAGGGAGGGGTGACCTCAGGCAGAGGGCAGAAACCTGAGGCGGAGAGCGCTGCTGAGAATGCGGCCCGAGGCGGGGAAGGGAGAGCTGAGGCGGGAAGCACCAGAAGGGGTGGACCTGGGGCCGGAGGCGCCCGGGAGTGATACCCTGAAATGGAGAAAGGAGAAATGGGGCGCCTGGGGTTGGGGACCCGTAGGAAGGAAGCCGACGTTGTGTGGGGCAGTTGGTCTAACTCTGGTGGGTTTCTTCAGAAACTTGCCACCCCAGCGCCGGACAGGCGAGTCTCAGGTCCCTTTTCTTTAGTTAGAAGAGCGTTTTCGCCAGACCTGGGTCGGAGGGATGCTGTCGTCCAGGCTCACCGGGCTCGGGAGACCCCTCTGTGCTCCTGCAGCTCCTGAACACTTGCCACGTTAGAGTATGTTGTGGTGCTTTTAAGTGTCTGGCCCCCTACCACCCCCCACTCAGGGTTTTCCTAAAGGGCAGGGAACCTGTTGAGTTAATCTCTGAATCCCCGTCGCCTACCGTAGCATCCCAGTAGGGCACAGTACATGTCTGTTGACTGCACTTGCAGAGCTTGGTAACGAGCGTGGTTTGCTCTCCAAAAGCGGTTTCGCTGGCTAATTCTGGACACTGGGGTTGTTCAGTGGACCACTGAACTCCCAGCAGCCAACAACTTGGCCACATCACGTGGAGAGGAATGTAGGTTGTGAGTTTTAAGCGACTTGACTGGCTCAAGTTCGAGCATCCATCCACTTGAAATCTACTCAGCTTCCTGTAGTGAGTGGGAAGCTTAACCTTTGCCTTATGCTCTGAGGTGTTCAGTAGGAGGGCGGTGTGATTTGCAAATTCAGTAGACTTTTACAGTTGTGGGGTGGAGCCCCGTTTGCCCTGGCTGGGGCACTAGGGTGGGAGGAACTTTAGTGGTTCAAGACTTAAAGGTAGCTTGATGGATGTAGGAAATTGTTCTTCTCTTTTTTCCTTTTGCCCCTTTTGTTTTCCTCCATTGCTGGGATGGAATTTTTCTTTGAGTAGCAACAGAAGGGGATGCAGTATTTTTATATTTTCTGTTTCCAAAATGTGGTTGGCTGTGCTGTTGGCTCTGTTTCAGTGGTGTTCTGTAGATTAATTCATCAGCCTTCAGAATGATCTGTTTTCTTTTCTTTTTTTTTTTTTTTAAAGATTTTATTTGTTTATTTTCCCCCCAAAGCCCCCAGTAGATAGTTGTATGTCATAGCTGCACATCCTTCTAGTTGCTGTATGTGGGACGTGGCCATGAGGCCGGAGAAGCGGTGCGTCAGTGCGCACCCGGGATCCGAACCCTGGGCGAACCCGGGCCGCCAGCAGCGGAGCGCGCGCACTTAACCGCTAAGCCACCAGGCCGACCCCTAGAATGATCTCTTTTCTTGAACCCACCGTCTAATGCTTAGCAGAAGACACTACATACTTTTAATTGGTAAAAATCGCTCCTTTCTCATTTCTTACTGTCTGCTTTGTCTTGACCAAACTTTAGTCAGGCTTCTCTCTCCCCTACAGGGCCCTGAAGTCTTGGCCGCTCCCAAACCTACGCAAGCACTAAAAAAGTGTCATATACCCCCTGATCAGCTTCTCTTGGGACCCAGCTGACCATAGCAGGATAGAATCCTGTCATACCCCACTTCCCCTCCAAAGATTCTGCATATCTCTGCTTGCCCTTCCTTTACCCTATAAAACAACATCTTTTTCTGTTGATTTTGAGCTGCTTGCAGATTTCTGAGATTGCAGCAGTCTCCCTATTGCAGTAGCCTTCCTTTCTAATTAAAATCGCTCCCTTTCTAAGTCCAGATTTGTTTTTATTTGACAAAACTAAGCACAAGGTGCTGGATCCCTTTCCTCATCATGGAATACAATCTCACAGGTATCCTGAAATTTAGAGGCTATGATCCATATTGTTTTTTACAGATGATGTATTTGAAGTCCAAATGTGTTAAGTAACTTTCCAAAGGTCACACAGCTAGAAAAAAGCAGAGCTGGATTTTAAGCATAGGTTTTTGGACTCAAGAATTCATGCGAGCTATACCTTAACAAGTGTTCTCATCAAAAATCAATGGATTCAGGGCCGGCCCTGTGGCTTGGCGGTTAGGTGCGTGCGCTCCGCTGCTGGCGGCCCGGGTTCGGATCCCGGCGCGCACCGATGCGCCGCTTCTCTGGCCATGCCGGGCCGCGTCCCGCGTACGGTGGCTGGAGGGATGTGCATCTATGACATGCAACTATCTACTGGGGCTTTGGGGGATAAAATAAATTTAAAAAAAAAAAAAACAATGGATTCCCATCAACAATAAGGGAACAAACAAACCAATTAAAAGAAAAAATTGGAGAATATAACCAAAGTTATGAAATCAACTAAGAGCAAGGGAAAAAGAAGACAGTAGAAAAATAAGCAAAACACAAGAACAGACCAATTGACAACCAGCCAGTAAACACAGAAAAAGATGTTCAATTTCAACAGTAATTTAAAAAAAATTTTACTTACATTGGAAAATATTTAAAGATTATAGGAGAAATGGGTAATCCCATAAAGTTGATGGAAGTGTCAGTTGGCTCAACCATGGATAGTTTGGCAATACTTTTTATTTATTAGAAATTTCACTTATAGGGATTTACAGATACAGGTGCCCAAAGAATTATATTCAAGATCGTTATTTTAACCATTGGTTATAAATAGCAAAAAAGTAGAGGTGATCTAAATATCCATCGATAATAGTAATAAATAATAGTGATGGCTAACATTTACTGAGCATTTGTTTTGTGTGAAGTGCTAGTCGATGTACTTAACATGTTTTATAAAATCTTTACAACAGCTCTATGACAGATTCAGTTATACTCATTTTAGAGTTGAGGAGCATAAAGCTCAGAAAAAATTTGTTAAATATATTATGGTAAATCTATATTGTAGAATACAAAACAGCTATTAAAATGATGTAGTTTAACAATTGACAAGAAACATCTTTATGACATATTGGGTGGGAATATTGTTTTGTTTATTTATTTATTTATTTTTTCCCCCAAAGCCCCAGTAGATAGTTGTATGTTATAGCTGCACATCCTTCTAGTTGCTGTATGTGGGACGCGGCCTCAGCACGCCCAGAGAAGCGGTGCGTCGGTGCGCACCCGGGATCCGAACCCAGGCTGCGCGCGCACTTACCCGCTAAGCCACGGGGCCGGCCCTTGGGTGGGAATAAATAGATTATAAACAACATAGTTTCATTTGTGTAAAATTACATAATTGCATACATAAATGTCTTGAATGATATTACCCAAAATGTTAACAATAGTTATCAGAAGAATTTAAGTTGATATTTTATACTTTATATTTTTATATTGTTTGGATTTTTTACATTCAATAATTTTTTTATGATAGAAAAATACAAAACATTTTTTTCTTTTTGGAAAATTACTTCCTCATTTTCTCTGTTACATTTAGAAAGAATATTTTTGTTTGTTTGAAAATAGTCCAGGGGCCGGCCCCGTGGCATAGCAGTTAAGTACTCGCACTCCGCTGTTGGCGGCCCCAGGTTCGGATCCCGGGCGTGCACTGATGCACTGCTTGTCAGGCCATGCTGTGGCAGCGTCCCATATAAAGTGGAGGAAGTGGAGGAAGATGGGCACGGATGTTAGCCCAGAGCCAGTCTTCCTCAGCAAAAAGAGGAGGATTGGCATGGATGTTAGCTCAGGGCTGATCTTTCTCACGAAAAAAGAAAATAGTCCAGAGTTCTGGAATCTGAAGTCAGGAAGAACCAGAATTAATTAGATACAAACAGAAAGAAAAAGAAACAATGTATGTTAAGTCTTTCAAAACACAGAGTATTATGTGCTTTCCTTGCAGATTTTACAACTAAAGTAACACTTTGGGCACCCTTCAAGCTATGGTTTTGACTTAACTATTCTAAGAACAATAGACTTACGCTTCTTTTCCTGTCCCTGCCCCAGACTTCACTTATTTTAGGAGGAAGTTGCCAGTTTTGCAGCTGGACTTCCTTGCAAAGAGTTAACTCAGATAATTTTAAAATTTTCACCTGATTTATCAAAAAAAAAAGCCTCTTGGTATAGCTATCTAATTAAAATTAAGACTTTCCAAGTGGCAAATCAAAAAAATGGTACTTGGCACAGTCTGTTGCCTGTAGTGGGTGGTCAATAAATGCTGATCTGAGTAAATTCTGGTGGATCCAAACTGAAAGAAATTGAAAAACGTATTAAATATTGAAATCATTCATCTTTTTTCTCGCTTTTCTTCCATAGAAAATGAAATCACAGGTTCATTACTGCCCTATCTTGACGAGTCTCTTCTTGAAGAGCTTGGCGTAAGGTAAGAATAATAAAATTTACATTGTAGCCAAGAATACTTATGATCTTGTTATTCACCTTTGAGGGACAAAGCCCAAGATCGCTGATATTAACTGTTGTCATATTAAATCTATGAAGTGTTTTAAAATAGAATCCCCAGCCCCTGTTTTTGTTATGTAAGTCTTGTGTTTAATATTACTAATGATTCCTATTTTTAAAAATTTTGCTGACAAGCCTTCATGAAGTTTGTAGTGACTAACTTTTTACTCTCAAGTTCAAAATAATTAAATTATACACACCAGAAAATATATAAGAACTGATAGGAAAAAAAATATTGGCAAGAACAATCAAGGCTACAACCTTATCTTGAACATATTTCTAGGTGTTCCTAAGGCTGTGTTAAGACTGGAATGTATCCCTGGTATTAAATTTAAAAACATTATAAAAAATAGTTTGGCACTTTTTAGTTGTATGATTTGGGACAAGTTATTTAACCCTTCGGTTTCTGCACTTGTGAAATGGATAATATTGAGACAGTGTATGTAAAGTGATTAGCCCTTAATAAAAAAAAATATATAATATATATATAAATTAAATATATATAATTATAATATATATTTTTATATTTTATTTTTTATATTTTATATATATCTATATTTAAAATAGATATATATAGGTAGAGATCCCTATAGCCAGCCCTGGTGGTCTAGTGGTTAAGATTTGGCACTCTCATCACCGCAACTCAGGTTCATTTCCCAGTCAGGAAACCACACCACCTCACCACCCTGTCTATCGATTGTCATACTGTGGGGGCTGCACGTTGCTGTGATGCTGAAAGCTATGCCACTGGTGTATCAAATATCAGCAGGGTCACGCATGGTGGACGGGTTTCAATGGAGCTTCCAGAGTAAGACAGACTAGGAAGAAGGACCTGGCCACTCACTTCCGAAAAAATTGGCCATGGAAACCCTATGAATAGCAGCGGTTCATTGTCCAATATAGCACTGGAAGGTGAGAGGATGGCGCAAAAAAAAAAAAAGACCAAGCAGGATTCTGCTCTGGTTTACATACCCAGGGTCGCTAGGAGTCAGAATTGACTTGACAGCACTAACAAGAGCTCCCTATGTATGGCTGGAGGTTCTAGGGTCTAGGTTAGTGTGGGTCCACTTTAAAGATCCCAGTTGAGGATCCAATATTTTCAATATTCCTTAAAATGGAGACTTTGTTTCCATTAGAGAACTGACAACAGAAGTGAAATATGGTCTTTTCTTCTGGAATTCCACTTAGCTAAATGTTGTTTGTGGTAACAGTAACCAAAGAATGAAAACAGAATATACTGAATTAACTTCATACACTATTGCTTAGTAATTGATAATGGGACTAGATTGTGAAAAAAGATCGTTTTAGGACATTTAACTGACTTTTATAAATGTCCTTTGGTTCAGAACTTCAGGGACCTATTGAAAAACAAAATTCAACTGAGTAAATTTTTAAAGATCTTAATTCAGTGATTCATGAATTGAGCAGCATCCCATCTAGCAGACAGACAGGAGCTCCAAAGGGCTGCAGAAAAGGAAAGGTTTTTAGAGACAGAAAGGGGATGGGACAATGAGGTCATAAACAAAGGATTATTTTAGGTAAAATCACCTTCCTTAAGGGGTCTGTCAGGCACAGTACTTCACTAGTGCTGACCACGTAATTCCAGATTGACTGATTAAAGGTTACATTCCTGGGAGAGACTCAAACTACAGGTAGGTTAGGTATTAAGTCTCAGTTTGGTGGCAAGGGCTTAGCACAAGGGACTCCATTTTGGGCCAGTTGTCTCTTAACAGACCTCATCTTGCCTCTTTCATAACCACATTTCAGCCCCCTCAGTTCCCTCAAAGTCACCCTTACTACCTAGTTCTTATGTATAATAGTTGCTTACTATTTTAATTGAATGGAATTTGTTCTAATAGAGTCTGTCTTTTAAAGGGAACCATAGGTACGCACCGATGCACCGCTTGTCAGGCCATGCTGTGGTGGCGTCCCATATAAAGTGGAGGAAGATGGGCACAGATGTTAGCCCAGGGCCAGTCTTCCTCAGCAAAAAGAGGAGGATTGGCGTGGATGTTAGCTCAGGGCTGATCTTCCTCCCAAAAAAATAAATAAAGTTAAAAATAAATAAATAAATAAAGGGAACCATATATGTACTTTGTGGACCACAATACTATTGATTTAGTCAACAAACATTTATGGAGGGCTCTGTTAGGCATTCTTCCAGGAATTTGGGACACAAGTGAACAAAATAGACAAAATTCTGAAAGGAATTAGATTTCAGAAGTGATGTAATACAGAAATAGAATCTTACTGTAGTGTAATTATCCTGGCCCATGACTACTTTAAGCCTTTGTTTAAAGTATTTATTTTGCTGTATCCTTTGCCAAAACAAAACAAAAAAAATCTCTAGGTTTTGGGTGACTTTTTAAATATACTTTAATCAGTGATTTCTTTATGAATAGTTTCTTTTTGAGTTTTAATTAAGTGATGAATACTGAGTACCAGTTCAGGAAAATACTGGGCTGTGAGGTTGGTTTAGGTTTGGTATTATTTAATTTAATTTATTTATTTATTTATTTTTGTGAGGAAGATCAGCCCTGAGCTAACATCCATGCCAATCCTCCTCTTCTTGCTGAGGAAGACTGGCCTTGGGCTAACATCCATGCCCATCTTCCTCCACTTTATATGGGACGCCGCCACAGCATGGCCTGACAAGCGGTGCATCAGTGCACACCCGGGATCCGAACCCGGGCTGCCAGCAGCGGAGTGTGTGGGCTTAACTGCTATGCCATGGGGCCGGCCCCTGGTATTATTTTATACCGTGACTCCTGGTTACACTCAACTGTGAGCTATACTTAGCCTGAGTCAGTTGTAGCTCACCTCTAAGAACTTCTCGAAGCCTAGCCTTTCCCTGTGCTTGTTATATCAAACTGATGAGTAAGATAGGGGAATAGTAAAACACAAGATATGCTGCTTTAATGATTTATCAGCTGTAATAATGCTTCTGTACATCCCAAGAAGATCATCCTTAGATTTTGTAGTTACCACAGTTCTCACGGTACAACATAGAGGCCAATTATAGTGCTTCTGACTCCAAGTCTGTCTAAGACTTTAAGCAAAAGACTTATTTTTCAATCTAATTAGCAAGTAGATCAGTAAAGGCTAACCCCTTGCCTGCTGCTTCTGTTGATACTCAGCCAGGTGTCAGGCTAAGATATCTAGACCAATTAATAAGTCTAAATGAAGCAAGATAAGGAATTACAGGATTTTGAGCTAAGTTTAATTCCTATTAAATTCTTTCTCAAAACTGGAGCATTATGAGAGATTACTGACAAAGGGTATAAATAAGCTAAAACCTTCATATGTATACATATTTGACCCGTGCATGAGGCATACCTGGTGCTCATAAGTCAGACTTGGACGTTTGCAACTCACCACTATAATCAACAAAAAAATCTATTCATGGACTGATCATGTGACTGGCAACTGTCCCTGTCAAGGAGTCCTGTATTGTCCTGCATTTCCAAGGCTTTCATTGTATCCTAGACATTTGCATTTGATTTGACTGTATCTTTAATTTTTTTTTTAATTTTTTTTTAATTTTTCCCCCAAAGCCCCGGTAGATAGTTGTATGTCATAGCTGCACATCCTTCTAGTTGCTGTATGTGGGACGCGGCCTCAGCATGGCCGGAGAAGCAGTGCGTTGGTGCATGCCCGGGATCCGAACCCGGGCCACCAGTAGCGGAGCGCGGCGCACCTAACCGCTAAGCCACAGGGCCGGCCTGTGATTTGACTGTATCTTAATTGCAGTAAGCAACAATTATTTCTATTTGAAAGTTATTTTGATATGACAAAGGCTCAGTTTGTCAAACAAATGTGGTCTTCCTGTATATAACATCTTTGGCCAATTTAGGTAACTTTGTTCACATATTCACCACTTGGTTACACTAATAACTCCTAGATTCTTGTAGTTAAAACACTGCTGATGGGGTAAATATTGAATTTATAATCAGTAATAATTTCTATAGTACCTGTAATCACAGTTACAATTCTCCTGTAGTTCTTGAGGGCAGGAACTGAGTCTTTATTGTAACCCCAGTGTTGAACACACTGTTTAATCCCTCTCCACCCCTGTGAGGTGGATAATATTCTCCCTATGCTATAGATGAAAACATCAATGTACCAGAAAAGGTTAAGTGACTTTTCCAAAGTCATATAATTTCCATGTACAGATGTGAGCCAGTTCTGTCTGATTCCCAAGTCCTTTTTCGTTATTACCAGGCTTTTCTTCAAAGACTGCTATCTTGAGTTTTCACTTATCTGAGCCATGCAAATTCAGGATCGTGAAGGTACATGTTGACTTCAGTTAGGTTAAAATAAGTTTGAAGTGTAAATTGAGCATTCAGTAGAGATGTAGGAGATGTTCAAGTCTGGGTTTACCAAGAGAAGAAGATCAAGGGCAAAAGGCTAGGGGAAGGTCTCATGTCTTAGCAGCAAAGGAAGGAGAAAGTTTCTAGCAGGAGTATGTTTGAATTATTAATTGTTCCTTTTAACCTAACTTCTCTTTCTATTAGTGTAGATAATCTAGACTTGATTATATACTCTTATATACTTCAGGGATTATTATTAAGCAAATAATGATAGCTTTTCTTATCCTGTTTTAATTTTAGTTCCTTGGGGGAGAGAAAGAAGCTGCTTAATTATATCCAACAACTGAGTCAAATTCATGTTGATACTATGAAGGTAAGAGGAATCTGAGTTTGTTATTCTGTTTTTTGAATATAAAGTGATATAACTCAATTATGTAGAATTCATTTTAAAGAGAATGGAAGGAAATCTGCTTCTCAGTAAGAGGATTGTGAGTAATGGATTTTTAGTTTTCTAAACTTTCTACATTTTCTTAAAATAAGCACAGAATATTTAAATCAGAAGAGAAACTAAAATGTTGTAAGAATATAGAAAAGCATAAATAGGCTAATACCCAGCTTGTCAAATCTTAACATTTTGCCTAATTTGTTTCAGATCTGTTATTTTTAGAACAAAATATTAGAAACAATAGGAGGCCTCCTTTTACCCTTCCTGAATTCTATTTCTATCCTTTCCTCCTCACAAGTAAGCATCATCCTGAATTTGGTGTTTAATCATTTTCATGAATGTTTTTTACTTTTACTATATATGTTGTATAGCCATAAACAATGTATAGTATTGTGTTACATGTTTTTCAAACTTTATATAAATGGTATTGCACAGTAAGTAACCTTCTAAAAATTTCGTTTAGGGGCTGGCCCCATGGCGTAGTGGTTAAGTGCGCGCGCTCCGCTGCTGGCAGCCCGGGTTCGGATTAAAAACTGCTGATGAAAAATGTAAATGATGCACCACTTGTCAGGCCATGCTCTGGCAACGTCCCATATAAAGTAGAGGAAGATGGGCATGGATGTTAGCCCAGGGCCAATCTTCCTCAGCAAAAAAAGAGGAGGATTGGCATGGATGTTAGCTCAGGTCTGATCTTCCTCACCAAAAAAAAAAGAAAAAAAAATTAAAACTTGTGTTTAACGTTATGTTTTTGAGAATCATCCATGTCGACATACATAGCCCTAGTTACCCCTCAGTCATAGAATAACTTTTAAAGTTGTACTGAATTTTATTTTCAGTTTTGGTAAACTTTTTTGTCAAATATTAGTCTAGAGGGTGGATATATTCCTAAAGTTTAATCTATCAATAATTGTTTAGTTCTCATCCGCCAGCCCCTTGTCAGACATTAAAAGCCCTGTTTTTCAGACTTCGGTGTCCCAAGAATCATTTTAACAAGCAGTCAATTGCCTAGCCCGCATCCCGGAAATTCTGATTCTGAGAATTTAGAGACCCAGGAATGTATGTTTTTCACAAACTCTTCAGGGTGATTCTAATAACATAATTAAAGAAATGTTTCTTGATTGGTTGGTGACAGGAAATGTATCTTATTGCTCGCCCTTTTGACATCTATAAGGTTAAGAAAACTTAGTTTCAGACCTGGAAGAAGGTGTAGGGTATCTCATTCCCCTTTTGCATGAACATCATTTACATTTTTCATCAGCAGTTTTTTATGTATTTAATGTACAGTATTTGAGTTATTTCAGCTCCCTCTGAGAATATATATTTTAATTTTACTTTTGCAAGTTAGCTTGCTTATTTTCCATTGAAAATCACGTTTGAAAATATTTAATGAATGTATTTCATTCAATCCTACAATTATTTATTTATTTTTTTTGTGAGGAAGATCAGCCCTGTGCTAATATCTGCCAATCCTCCTTTTTTTTTTTTTTTGCTGAGGAAGACTGGCCCAGGGCTAACATCCGTGCCCATCTTCCTCCACTCTATATGGGATGCCGCCACAGCATGGCTTGCCAAACAGTGCGTCGGTGCGAGCCCGGGATCCGAACCGGTGAACCCCGGGCCGCTGCAGCAGAGTGCACGCACTTAACCACTTGCGCCACCAGGCCTGCCCCTACAATAATTTTTTTATAGACAAAGTATTGGCTCCTACAGCAAATATTTTATATGAAGAATAATCAAATCCCTGCCCTTTCTGAAAAAGTTACCTAATATTAAAACACTTCATTTTTTTCATGAAGAAGTAAATAGAATGATCACTTATCAAAAACGGTATCTCAATATTTCGTCTTGCTATTGGAAGAAAGTTGCTGCCCTATTTTGTCCTTCCTCACTGGCAGCTGCATAGTGTGTTCTCCTCAGGTGGGGCATAGGTATCATGAATTTTCTTCATTAGGTGCGATATCTCAGATGATCTCTGAGATCACATTTTCACAATTACAATTTGCAACAAAAATATTTTTGAAGTAATATTCAAGGCAGCCAGTGGGTTTCATTTGCCCACTTTTATTCTTTTTTTCTATTTTTCATCAAAAACAAAATTATTTAGCCTCATTTATAAATTATGTATAAATTAAAATTGTTGAAAATAGATTTTAAAGCTACTAAGTACTTTAGTCACTGTGTAATAAAGACATTGATACCTTATAGGATCTTAGCTTCATCAGCAGTACAGTTGAACACAGAATTGATTCCTACCCTAATTTGGTATCCGCCTTTTATTTATTTTTAAAAAAACAGCTTTAGCAAGATATAATTCACATACCTTGTAATTTACTAATTTAAAGTATACAAGTCAATGTTTTTTAGAAAGTTCACAAAGTTGTTCAGTTATCACAACCTCATTTAAATTGTAAGAGTTCTTAATACGTTCTGGATACAAATCCCCTATCAGCTATATGATATGCAAATATTTTCTCCCTATCTCTGAATTGTCTCTTTACTTTCTTGTTGGTGTTCTTTGGAGCACAAAAGGTTTTAATTTTTATGTAGTCCAGTTTATCTATTTTTTCTTTTGCCTCTTGTTTTGTGGGTGTCATATTTAAGAAACCATTGCCTAGGGGCTGGCCCCATGGCGTAGTGGTTAAGTGCGTGCGCTCCGCTGCTGGCAGCCTGGGTTTTCATCCCGGTCGCTCACCGATGCACCACTTGTCAGGCCATGCTGTGGCGGTGTCCCATGTGAAGTAGAGGAAGATGGGCACGGATGTTAGCCCAGGGCCAATCTTCCTCAGCAAAAAGAGGAGGATTGGCATGGATGTTAGCTCAGAGCTGATCTTCCTCACAAAAAAAAAAAAAGAGAAAGAAAGAAACCATTGCCTAATCCAAGGTCACAATCTTTTATTCTTGACTTAGTTTCCTTCATGCTAAATTTAGTTAGTTGGCCTCTGAAGCCAGGAATTTTGTAATGATGAGGAAGAAGTGCAGTGTTGGACATTAATAACAGGTAGTAATTTGTCAAATGTATTAATGAATCTTAAGAGAGTGAAATGCCTGCTTTATGTACCTTCTCTTACTTCATATGTGTTAAATTATAGAATCACCACCCCTGAATCATTTTCTCCATTCTCTTTCCCTGCTCCTCTGGACAAGGATTCTATTATCTTTCCCAGAGGGCAGGAATGGTACCTTACTCATCTCTTATCCCCATTGCTTGGCATGTACAGAAGACACTAATAGACAATAGGATTGTTTCAGCCTGCTTGGCTAGTAACACAATAGGGGATCATATAGCCTGTAAAAGTGACAAGTAAGTGGGCCACGTGACTGTATAAGGAGTGGTTTATATTAAATAATACTGGAAGAATAAGAATAACACATTGTAAACAATGATGAAAACACTTTAATATCACATATACACACTAAGAGTTGTGAAGGGAATATGAAATAATATAACTAGAATTGCCAGCAACTCAATGCCCAACATTAGGAGAATGGTTTAAAAATTTTGGTTCATCAATGAAATGGAGCCCTTAAAATGATAATTGTTAAGATTTGTAAAAACACAAGAAGGTGTTTATGATGCATTTTGACATGAAAAGAAAGTATGTGTATGTGTATTATAATATTAAGTTAAAAATAATTTTCATTGAGTTCATTTTTTTTAATAATTTTATTTATTTATTTTTCCCCCAAAGCCCCAGTAGATAGTTGTATGTCATAGTTGCACATCCTTCTAGTTGCTGTATGTGGGACGCGGCCTCAGCATGGCCAGAGAAGGGGTGCGTCAGTGCACGCCTGGGATCCGAACCCAGGCTGCCAGCATCGGAGTGCACGCACTTAACCGCTAAGCCACGGGGCCGGCCCAAGTTCATTATTTTTTTAAAAAGTTGCTTAAATTTATTTTGTTTTAGCATAGTTAGGATGAAATAAATGTTTTAGAAACAGTTATTAAACTTGAAAAATTGACATGAAGACTTTTAGACCTTTAAAGGGAGTAAAAGTAGATTGTAGAATTGTTCTTTATAATTTTTAATAATAAAATGGATTCTCATTTGTTCGTGGTGGTTACATTGATCTTGTATAAGGGGGAAGGAATAGACCAGTATATGATTTTCATATATTTAAAGATTGTGAAACTTTTTCTTGTCTGATAAGGACATTCACAGGGTTGGATTATGACATTCATGATTCCTTCTATTCTTGAGATACTTGGACATCATTCTTGGTGTATTATTAGAGGTAACTAAAATTGATATAGTTTTAATAATCATAAAGTAGTTTTATACAGCAGGGTGAAAAAATTAATACTCACCAAACATCATTCATAAATCTAATCTTTGTGGGCCGGCCCCGTGGCTTAGCGGTTAAATGCGCGCCCTCCGCTGCTGGCGGCCTGGGTTCAGATCCCGGGCACGCACTGACGCACCGCTTCTCCGGCCATGCTGAGGCCGCATCCCACATACAGCAACTAGAAGGATGTGCAACTATGACATACAACTATCTACTGGGGCTTTGGGGGGAAAAAATAAATAAAATCTTAAAAAAAAAAAAAAAATCTAACCTTTGTTAATGTATATACGTATTGTTTAACAAAGTTGTAAATTCTAGTCATTACTTGACTCACATTGTCAGTACCCAACTTTTATTGAGCTATTTTTAAAGCAAACGACCTCCTTATCACCAACATGTTCAAATGTTGGACCAGCGGCCGGCCTGGTGGCATAGCAGTTAAGTTCACCTGCTCCGCTTTGGCCGCCCGGGGTTCACCGGTTTGGATCCTGGGCACGGACCTACACACCACTCATCAACCCACGCTGAGGCGGCGTCCCGCATAGAGCAACTAGAAGGATGTACAACTATGACATGCAACTATCTACTGGGGCTTTGGGGAGAAAAAAGGAGGAAGATTGGCAACAGATGTTAGCTCAGGGCCACTCTTCCTCAAAAAAAAAAAAAAAGTTGGACCAGATGATCCCTTTAAGCTTCTTTACAGCATTGAGCTTCTGTAATTCATATTTTATATATTTCTGTGCCTGGACATGGTACACTTTAACTATAATAGCATGTTAACATATATTACTTTGCAATAGCGGTTCAACAGTAGTTCAAAACATTCGAGTTCCTACTGTGTGCCAGGCACTATGCTGTGTGATGAGTTCTGAGAATATGGCAGTAAATGAGACAGACAAGGAAGGTCCTTCACTTCCCAGAATTCCATACATTTTTAAGGAACTTCATGGAACAATCTGAAGCAGTTTGAAAATCATGGGTGAGATCATTTGTCAGGTTCCTTTTTTATTCTGTAGCCTTCTCTCTCTCTTTTTTTTTTGGTGAGGAAGATGGGCCCTGAGCCAACATCTGCCAATCCTCCTCTTTTTGCTGAGGAAGACTGGCCCTGGGCTGACATCCATGCCCATCTTCCTCCACTTTATATGGGACGCTGCCACAGCATGGCCTGACAAGCAGTGCATCAGTGCGTGCCCGGGATCCAAACCGGTGAACCCTGGGCCGCCGCAGCAGAGTGCGCGCACCCAACCGCTTGCGCCACGGGGCTGGCCACTGTAGCCGTCTCTTTAAAACGGGGTAATGGACAGTTAAGAAAGATGTATCTTTTTTAAAGAAACAGAGAGGCATTAAATCTTCACCCATATTTAAAGGCCCTGTTTAAGCTTAGAGTAATGAATAATTGTGAAATTTATCTTTACTAAGTGTAAGTATTTCTGAGTAACCTTAAGTACTATACAGTAGTCCCCCCATATCTGCGGGAAATACATTCCAAGACCCCCAGTGGATGCTGAAACTGAGGATAGTACCAAATCCTATATATACTATGTTTTTTCCTATACATACATTCCTATGATAAATTTTAATTTATAAATTGGGCACTGTAAGAGATTAACAACAATAACTAATAATAAAATAAAACAATTTTTTTTCTTTCCTTAAGTCAAGAACTTTCACCTTTTCACTTAAAGGAAGCACTTTACAGCTTCTCTTTGGCATATCTGAATTGCCAGCATCACTACTCTTGCACTTTGGGGCCATTATTAAGTAAAATAAGGGTTACTTTAACACAAGCCCTGTGATACCATGATAGTTGATCTGATAACCAAGACGGCTACTAAGTGACTAGTGTATGGGTAGTGTACACAGCATGGATACGCTGGACAAAGGGGTGATTCACGTCCTGAGCAGTGCAGCACCAGATTTCATCAGCTACTCAGAATGTCGTGCAATTTAAAACTTATGAATTGTTTATTTCTGGAATTTTTCATTTAATATTTTTGAACTGCAGTTGACTATGGGTAACTGAAACCACGGCAACAGAAATCGCGGATAAGAAAGAACTACTGTAGAATTTTATCTTCCTGCTTACCATTTCTTATCTATATAGTAGAAGGGTTTCTTTCTTTTTTTTTTTTTTTTAAGGATTCTAATGATGGATACTATATAGGTACATTTAGAAAAAAATTTAAACACAATGCCTGTAGTAATATGGCTTATATGATCTGAATGAGTGTGTTTAACTTGAATACAAGACTAACTTATTAAAGGCTAATTAAATCATATACATAATAAAAAGGTTGAAATCCTTAGCCTTCTGTTATTAGAATCCATTAGGAAGAAGTAAAATATACCCAGATCCAAAATACTTGATCTGTCTGGTAGTGATACCTAAATAAGGTAATGATATTAATGTCTTGTTATTTCACTTCGTATATTCTTACTTGGGAACAATTAAATAGCTTTGACTTTGCACTGTAGATAGGAATGGCTGCACAAAAATTTTAGATGGAGTTATGTATTGTTACTCATATTAATTTAAACATAATTTTCTAGGTAATTAATGATCCTATCCATGGCCACATTGAACTCCACCCTCTCCTCATCCGAATCATTGACACACCTCAATTTCAGCGGCTTCGATATATTAAACAGTTGGGAGGCGGTTACTATGTTTTTCCAGGAGCTTCACACAATCGATTTGAGCATAGTCTAGGGTAAGAAGGGTATTGGGTGGGTAACTTACAGTTATTAAGTACCTTCTCTGTCTCATGAAATGATTGTCTCATCTTATCTTTTAGAGAATAAATAGTTTTACACATGGTAATAGTATCCTTATTTTATTGATGAGAAAATTGAGGCTTAGATTTGCCTTGCTATATTTTATTTATTTTATGTGTTCTTGTAAGCCACCTCAGATCCTTCCTGGAGAGATAGTGAAAGTGTCTATTGACAGGTCATTTGGATTAAATATTAGCTTTTAAATAATATTTAAACACAAGTAACGTTGGTTACTGATATAGCTAACTTTGTAAGTTTGATTATTTAATTTTCTTGTAGTCTCTAGTTAGTCGTCTACAGAACTGCCCTTTGAAACCAGATCATTTTCTTACCTATCAGGAAATCTGTAAATCAGAAAAGCATTCACAAGCTTAGAGAAGGTGGCGCCTCTATTACCTACAACAAAGTTGAGACTTTGGTCTGCTTTTCCGTTATAAAATGTACAGCCAGGAGACATGGGCCAGGAAAAACTGGACAGTTTTCTAGATTTTCATGAAGTACTCACTCGGTTTCTGGTTGTTTTGAAGCATTTTTAATTAGCCAGAACATATGTGTCTACTCAAATGTTCATTCATTCATCAAAAAATATTTACTGAAAACTTACCAAGTCCTACCAAACCATCAAGAGAGCAATTGGCTCTATCCTCGTGGAGTTCAGAGTTTAGGGGAGAAGAAAGATATTATATTCATTCAGGAATTACGTTCAGGGGAAAGTGCTAAAAATACATTTAACTTTTGTTGGGCATTTTATCTTCAATCTGTGTTGTAAACATTATAAAGCCAGAAGTCTTGCTTTTTTAAAAAAACTGTAATAAAATACACAGAATATAAAATTTACCATCTTAGTCATCTTTAAGTGAACCGTTCAATAGTGTTAAATATATCCACATTATTTTGCAACCAAGCTCCAGAACTTTTTCATCTTACAAAACTGAAACTCTGTACCATTAAATGACAGTTCCCTATTCCCATCTGCCACCAGCCACTGGTAACCACCATTCTACTTTCTGTTTCTGTGAATTTGACTACTCGAGCTACCAGATATAAGTGATATCATACGTATTTGTCTTTTTGTAACTGGCTTATTTCACTTACCATCATTTTCTCAAGGTTTATGTGTCAGAATTTCGTTTCTTTCTAAGGCTGAATAATATTCTATTGTATGTATATGTCACATTTTGTTTATCCCTTCATTTGTCGGTGGACACTTGGATTGCTTCCACCTCTTTGGCTATTGTGAATAGTGCTGCTATGAACATGGGTGTACAAATATCTCTTCGAGACCCTGCTTTCAATTGATTTGGGTATATACACAGAAGTGGAGTTACTAGATCATATGGTAATTCTATTTTGAGTTTTTTGAGGAACCTCCATACTGTTTTCCATAGTGGGTATACCATCATACATTCCCACTCACAGTATACAAAGGTTCCAATTTCTCCACATCCTGGCCAACATTTGTTATTTTTTTGTTTTTGGGGGGGATAATAGCCATCCTAATGGGTCTGAAGTGGTGTCTCACTGTGGTTTTGATTTTGCATTTCCCTAATCATTAGTGATACTGAGCCAAGAGGTCCTGCTTTTGGGATTCTGTTTGTGTGTTCCTGCCTACTTCTGAAACAGACTCTTCTGTTAAATTGCCCTAGAGATATATATAGCATCTGATAAACACATTAAAGTTCTTGAGGACCAAAAGTATTACTCATCTTTCAAACGGAAGCGTGACTTTTCTTTTTGCTCTGCAGTGTGGGGTATCTAGCAGGATGTCTGGTTCGCGCATTACGTGAGAAACAACCAGAGCTGCAGATAAGTGAACGAGATATGCTCTGCGTTCAGATTGCTGGGCTTTGTCATGATCTTGGTAAGGTGTACAAAGAGTCAGAGCTGTTATGTAAAACCGTAACGTTACCTCTCTTTTAAGTTAAAAAATCCAACTAACCCAGAGAAGTATGAAAGTTGTGTTTTAATTCTTCAGTTAACATTAATATTAATGTGCCATTGCTTCTTCCTAGAATGATTCATAAGCCCAAAGCATTGTTATTTTCTTTTTTTGTAGTCTTTCAGTGAATTTCCCATGTTAAACATCTTTGCTACAAGTTATGTGAAAAGACTTACTGTTAGTGAGGTTTTGAGTCCTGTGTTTAGGATGATGTAAATTTGATCTTTCTTTTGTCCTTCTTGTTGAATAAAATTGCTGTTTTTCTTTCAGTTATTTTGTCAAATCCATTCTTCTCATACCTAGAGTACATAATCTAGCAGATTAACAACAGACTTAGAGAACTCCTTTTCTTCCCTGACCTGTGTGAGGTCTCGGGCCACTTAAATTCAAAGAGAAGAATAACATCCTTTGCCTTTGACAAAGAAAGAGAAAAGAGACTGTCGTCTTTTGTCACAGGAGTTTTTACCCCTATCCTTGTAGTGTGTTTGGAGTACCTGTTGGAGGATCCTGAGAGTCTGTGTGTGTCCTCAGAGCAGGGAAAGCGAGGTGTCTGTTTCAATAGCAGATACTTAAAGGGACAGGGCACTCTCTCCAACATGTCCCCTTGGAGATTTCAGTAGGACTAATACCACATCCCAGGTAACAGATTTTTGGTTTGAGAGGGAATCATTGGGAAACCTTTGCCAGTCTCCAGGAGTCTGCACACTGCAGTAATGAGCCTGTATGTACAGACTGCGACATGCAGAAAGGCCCAGGGCTGGTTCAGGTGGGCTTCCTCTCCAACCAGGTAACTCACTTCTACAGAAATTCTGATAATTCCAGAGTTGTGCCTCAACAAAGTTCATATTACTAAGTGTTGTGGAACGTTAAAATCACTTACGAATAAGAAACTAGTGATATCCACTTTTGATTGCTCGTATCATCCATAAAAACCCAAGATACAGCCCCATATGTGTATATTTATTATAAAATATATTATGTACATTATAAAATTTACATAAAAATAGATGATTTTAAAGGATGAGTAATAAAGTTCTAATATTTTCTTCCTGTACCCCTGTGGATTGTCTTAAAACTGCTGTTCTAATACAAATATTCAGTTTGAAGATGCCAAAAGTTTTTGTCATTAACATCCGTTGTAGTTATACAAAACTGTCCTCCCATCAGAATTATATAAGCTCTGGTGACTCAGAGACCCCTGTATGGAGAGCTTACTTTTTTTTCTATATGATTCTGCTTCCTGTTCTCTTGTTTTAGAAAATAAGAAGGAAGGATTTGTCCCTTTTTGTGATGTATTTATAGATTATTAATTTCTGTTGATATTCAAGTTCAACTAAAAAGATTAAAAATATAGATTCACTTTTTAGCAATTTATAAACATTTTTCTTGTTCTAAGGCTGCTTTTGTTTTTAAGGTCATGGGCCATTTTCTCATATGTTTGATGGAAGATTTATTCCACTGGCTCGCCCAGATGTGAAATGGACGGTAAGTATTCATATATTTAATAGTCAATAAAGTAAAGACTGTTTAAGTAGCCACTGCTGTGTTATAGTATACTTCCCCATTACAGTTTTCAGAATGCTTTCATATATTTTTTTTTTCATTTGATCCTCACAGTAATCTGTAAGGAAGGAATCATCTCCATTTTTACAAGTATAAAAGAACTTGAAGCTCACAGAGGTATATTGATGCAACAAAGATCACAAAGCTGTTAAATGGTAGAGCCAGCACTAGAAAGTCAGGTTTTCTAACTGTTAATTAAATGCTCTTTCTACTCTATCATACTCCTGTAAAATAAAAGGCCACTCCAGTTTTGACTCATTCTGTATGACCATGAAGTAATTGATACCAGCCAAATTTTATCATATATATTAAATGAACCATTTTGTAATTAGAGATTTGCAGGTGGCCAGCCCATATTTTTGGAATCAATTTTTGAGAAGTAAAGTTAGGTTGGCTCCTATTTTTTGCCACACTGTATTTCTGGAACCTGGGGTAGAAAAGGATAGCAATATGTATTGAATACTTCTTACATGTCAACCACTGTTTTCTCTCTCTCTTTCTTTTTTTTTTTTTTTTTTGGTGAGGAGATCAGCCCTGTGCTAACATCCGCCAATCTTCCTCTTTTTTTGCTGAGGAAGACTGGCCCTGGGCTAACATCCGTGCCCATCTTCCTCCACTTTATGTGGGACACCACCACAGCATGGCTTGCCAAGCAGTGCGTTGGTGCGCGCCTGGGATCCAAACCAGCGAACCCTGGGCAGCCGCAGCGGAGCACGTGCATTTAACTGCTTGCACCACTGGGTCGGCCCCTCTTTCTTTTTTTTTAAAGGTATAATTCACATACAGTAAGTTGTACAGATCTTAAGTGTACAGTTCAGTGAGTTTTAACAAGTGTATACATCCATGTAAGCACTACCCAAGTCAGGATGTAGAATGTTTTCATCTTCCTGGAAAATTCCTTTGTGCCCCTTTTGAGTCAATTCCTACTCCTCCCCTTACCCTCACCTTCTGGTTTTTATAACCAGATTAGTTTTGCCTGTTTTTAGACTTGATATTAGTATAATCATATAGTAGGTACTCTTTTGTGTCTTGCTTTCTTCACTCAACGTAATGACTAAGATTCGGTCGTGTTGCATGCATTGGTAGTTGATCCCTTTTGATTGCTGAGGTAGTATTTCATTGTATGAATAAGTCACAATTTGTCTATCCTTTCTTCTTTTGATAGAATTAGGGTTGTTTTCAGTTTTTGGCTGTTAGCAATAAGGTTGCTATGGACATTATTATACATGCTTTTTGTGGAAAATGTTTTCATTTCTCTTACTTAGGTAAATACCTAGGAGTAGAATTTCTGGATCGTAAAGTAGATGCATGTTTAACTTTATAAGAAACTACCAGAGCTTTCCAATGTGGTTGCACCATTTCACACTCCACCAGCAATGTATGAGAGTTCTTGTTGTTCCACAGCCTCACCAACATTTATTTTTTTAGATTAGCCCTTCTAATGAGTGTGAAATGGTATCTCGTGGTTTAATTTGCATTCTCTGATGTAGGTTAAGTGCCATTTCCTGTACTTTGTACTTTGTCACTGATAAATCTTTTGTGAAAAGTTCTTTCAACGTTTTACCCATTTTAAAAATTTGACTGTTTGCCTTTTTGTTATTGATTTGAGGAATTCTTTGTATTATAAGATATACATGTTGTGAATATTTTTTCCCCAGTCTCTGACTTGCCAATTCATTTTTTTAATGATGCCTTTTGAGAAACAGAAATTTTAAATTTTAATGAAGTGTCTGGTTCTTTGACCCAGTAAGATGGATAGTTTCTCTCCAGTTTTGCTGCCTTGGGGCCTGCCCTCTGGCTAAAAGCCATAACAGAGCTGGAATGTTTGCCCAATGCCTCTCTCTTTCAGGTGTTGACTTCCCTGTTAACATCTGCCGGCTGTTGGTCCAACTCCCGAGCCTTCAGGGAGTCGTCCTGAGTTTCCAGTTGTTTTCTCCAGCAGAGTTGATCAAAATAGGATCTACTCAGCCATTCCCAAGTCTTTTTGTTTAAATATTTTGCCTTTCATATTTAAGTCTTTAAGTCATGTGGAATTTATTTTTGTGCATGTGTATGGTAGAAATCTAATTTTTTTAAATATGAATAATTGTTTATTGAATAGCTTGTCATTTCCCTGTTGATCTATAATACTAACCCCAACATTTATTAACTTTCCATATATGATAATTCTTTCTGGATTTTGTTCTATTCCACACTTTCTTCATTATTATTACTTTACAATAAGTCTTCATAGGGCTGGCCCCGTGGCTTGGCGGTTGGGTGCGGGCGCTCCACTACTGGCGGCCTGGGTTCGGATCCCGGGCGCACGCCATGCACTGCTTCTCCGGCCATGCTGAGGCTGCGTCCCACATACAGCAACTAGAAGGATGTGCAGCTATGACATACAACTATCTACTGGGGCTTTGGTGGAAAAATAAATAAATTTAAAAAAAATTAAAAAAAAACAATGTCTTGGTAGTTGGTAGGACAGCTATTCACACCTTGTTCTTTTATTGAATACCTCTGGCCCTTTGCTCTTTTTTTTTTAACTTTTTTTTTTGAGGAAGATCAGCCCTGAGCTAACATCTGTGCTAATCCTCCTCTTTTTGCTGAGGAAGACCGGCCCTGAGCTAACATCTATTGCCAATCCTCCTCCTTTTTTTTCTCCCCTTTTTTTCCCCAAAGCCCCAGTAGATAGTTGTATGTCATAGTTGCACATCCTTCTAGTTGCTGTATGTGGGACGCGGCCTCAGCATGGCCAGAGAAGCGGTGCCTCAGTGCAAGCCCGGGATCTGAACCCGGGCCGCCAGTAGCAGAGCGCGCGCACTTAACCACTAAGCCACAGGGCCGGCCCTGCTCTTCTATTATAAATTTTATAATTCTCTTCGTATGGGCCTTATACATCTTTTGTTATATTTACTCCTAAGTTGCTTATAATTTTAGTTGTTACTATCTGTGCTATCTTTGTGGAACTTAAATTTTTCTGTATATATGTATTTTTTTCTGAACCATTTGAAAGTCACTTGTGGACATACCCCTTTATTCCTAAATATTTCAGTATTTCCTAAAAACAAGAACATTCTCTTACATAACCTCAGTACAATTATCAAAATCAGGAAATTAATATTGATGAAGTACTATTATATAATTTACAGACTTTCTTTCAAATTTTGCCAATTGTCCGTATAGAAAAAGGGGGGAAAAACCTTTCTTTTCCTGATCCTTACATACATTGCACTTAGTTGTCCTTTCTCTTTAGTCTCTTTTGATCTGTTGGAACAGTTCTCCAGTCTTTGTCTTTCACGACCTTGTCCTTTTCTGAAGAGTGCAGGTGAGTTATTTTGTGGAATGTTCCTCAGTTTAAGTTTCAGTTTGTCTGATATTTCCACATAGTGTTCAGACTATGCATTTTTGGCAGAATGCCACTGTAGGGAAGGAAGAACTATTCCTCTACCCTCTAGGTCCTTCTGGCTAGTCTAAGAATTAAATTGACATGAGACAGAATAACAGGAGAAAATCAAACAAAGTTTAATAATATGTACACACAGGAGAATCCCAGGAAAACTGAGTAACTCGCCAGAATGGCCAGAGCCACCACCTTAAATACCATCTTCAGCTAAAGACAAACGAGGATTTTGGGGATAGTGGTTTGGGACTTCAAAGGGGAGGAAGGCAATTTACATGGAGATGGAAAAGCAAATGTTTGATACACAAATGTTTGCTGGGCCATCTATGACAATATGACTGGAGAGAGAACTTTGATAATAATGGGCTTAGCAAGGAGCCTCCTGTCTACCACACCTGGCTTATATTATACTATAGTTATCTTATGGCATTAGCTCCTTCCTGGAACATGCTTTCTATCTTACATTTTTTAGGCAGTTAGGGGGCAGGTCAAAGTTTCTTTCAGAGTCTTTTATCCTTAAAAATAATCAAGCCAGGGGCCAGCCCCGTGGCATAGTGGTTAAGTGCGCGCGCTCTGCTGCTGGCAGCCCGGGTTCAGATCCTGGGCGTGCACTGATGCACCGCTTGTCAGGCCATGCTGTGGCGGTGTCCCATATAAAGTAGAGGAAGATGGGCACAGATGTTAGCCCAGGGCCAGTCTTCCTCAGCA